TAGGAGGCCTGTGATCTTGTCCTGATCATTAACTGTTGAGCCTGCTCTTTGGAACTCAGAGAAGGCCCCAGAGACCAAAACCTTTTTCTGCAAACAAGAAACGGGGGGGCCTCCCTGGTGGCGCAGTGGTTGGGAGTCCGCCTGCCGATGCAGGGGATACGGGTTCGTGCCCCGGTCTGGGAGGATCCCACATGCCGCGTAGCGGCTAGGCCCGTGAGCCGCGTGGCGGCTGGGCCTGTGAGCCGTGGCCGCTGAGCTTGCGCGTCCGGCAACGGGAAAGGCCACGACAGTGAGAGGCCCACATATCGCAAAAAAAAAACCCTTGAGGAGGAACTAGGCCTCTTTTATTGCTGAACTAGTATCATTACTTTTCTTGCTTAACTGCATTTCTTTTCTTTCTGCATTCCCTCTCTTCCCTAGTTAGTAACTGCTTGAGTCTGCTCTTTGAAACTCAGGGAAGCCCTAAGAGACTAAAGCCTTTTCTTACAAGCAAGAAACGGGGGACATGGAGGGGCTTTTGTACCCGGGAAGGTCCTGCAGGGTCCTGCTTGGTTTCAATCCCCGCCCCCCCTTTACTTTGACACTCCTCAATCCTGAGGGGTGGGATAAGAAAGGGAATAAGGTTTTGGGTAGAGAGATTAATCATGAACTCGGCAGGGGGACTCGGTTTTAGGGGAACTGGGTTTCACTCACTGCAGGTGGGCTTCCACCCCCCTCCTCCCCTGCTGCCCGCCCCACGCTGACCTTAGGGGCTTCCTGGCCAGCCACCGGCCTCTGGGTACAGCCTTCTGTTTTTACCCAGTTTCACTCCCAGGAGGTGCATCCGCCCCCTCCGCACCATGGCTACTCTGGATGACTGGTGTTCCTGAACTTGACAGCTAGTGTAGGAGCCTGGCAGATGGCCTTGTGCTGGGGCGCCAGGGGCCCCCGAGCTACCAGCAGAGGGCAGCCTGTTCCCAGCTATGGGGCCCAGATGTCCCATCCCGGCCACTCCTGTGGGCCCTCCCAGAGCAGCCAGTGGTCGGATGATCTGTTTGTGAAACCATCCATCCTCCCTGATGCAGAAACCCTCAGGGAGAACGTCCAGTTGGCCACATCCTGGGCTGGACATAGAGATGTTATCAAGATGATGGAGCCCTTGCCCCACCGGGAGCTCACCTTGCACTTACCTACAGCTCTATAGCACTGACTGGTGTATACCAATCTTGTATGTTTAGGGCCCATTCCCAGAGTCAGGGAAGGAGTCCATCAAGGCCACTCTTGGATCTGGTCATACGGACACGATGCACAGACTTGCTGTTGTTAAAGCAGCTGCTTATTGTTGTCTTGTGAATTCACATTGTGGGCAGGGAAGCCCAGCCCCAAAGCATGCGACAGGCACATCCCTCAGATGAAGGACACTGCAAGCTCTCAGATGAGCTCATTTAGAAAAAGTTTGCTCTTCCGTGGACTTGGCTGAGGTGACCCACCGGACACTAAAGGTTGTGTCCCCGCAGAATTCATATGTTGAAATCCTAACCCCCAAGGTGATGGTATTAGGAGATGGAGCCTTTGGGAGGTGATTAGGGCTTGAGGAAGGAGCCCTCGTGAGTGGGATTAGTGCCCTCATAAAAGCCAGCGAGCCCCCTCACCCCCTTGTGAGGTACACATGTGAGGACGCAGCAGAAAGACGGCCGTCTATGAACCAGGGGGTGGGTTCTCCCCAGACACTGAATCTGCCAGCACCTTGATCTTGGACTCCCAGCCTCCAGAACAGTGAGAAATAAACTTCTGCTGTTTATAAACCACTTAACTTATGGTATTTTGTTAGCCTGAACTGACCAAGGCAGAAATGGGTGCAGGAAGTAGGCTGCTGCTGTAACAGACACCTACAAACGTGGAAATGGCTTTGGAGCTGGGTGATGGGTAGAGGCTGGAGGGGTTTGGAAATGTCTGCTAGAAAAAACCTACATTGTTGTGAACAGACCCTTAGAGGGGATTCTGGTGAGAGCTCAGAAAGAAGAGAGTTGGAGAGAAAGCCTGAGTTGTCTCAGGGAATAAGGAGGAAGTAATTCTGAGCAGAATGTTGTAGAAATGTGGATGACAAAGGCCATTCTGATGACAGAAATGAGGGGTGTTTTATTGGAAAGGAGACAAGGGGGACCCTTGTTAAAAAGTAGCAAAGAATGTGGCTCGAGCGTGTTCAGACTCTGGTGTTTTGTGGAAGGTAGAACTTGAGAGCAATGGTATTTAGCCAAGGAGAGCTCTGAGCAAACTGTGGAAGGACCAGCCTGGCTCCTCCCAGGAAATGGAAACGCAAGAGGAGAGAAGAGCCTGGAGGCTGGCCTCGCACGGAGCACACAGGAAGCAGACCTTAAAGATATGGACATTCCCAGCCTACCCTACTTGCAGAAACAGTGCACTCAGGGTGCGGCTGAGTGACCTACGATAAGGTTAGGACAAGTCAGCCCCTCAAGGAAGCCGAATGCTGTTCCCCAGGACAATGGGGGGATGGCCCAGGAGGTGACTCAGAGACCAGGGCCGCCACTCCCATCACAAGAGCGTGAGGGCAAGGGGCTTCCCTGGTGGCTCAGTGGTTAAGAATCCGCCTGCCAATGCAGCGGACAGGGGTTCAATCCCTGGTCCGGGAAGATCCCACATGCCGCAGAGCAACTAAGCCCTCGCGCCACAACTACTGAGCCCACGCTCTAGAGCCCGTGAGCCACAGCTACTGAGCCCACGTGCCACAACTACTGAAGCCCGCGCGCCTAGAGCCCATGCTCCTCAACAAGAGAAGCCACCGCAATGAGAAGCCCAAGCCCCGCAACTAAGAGTAGCCCCCGCTCGCCGCAACTAGAGAAAGCCCGCGCGCAGCAACGAAGACCCAACGCAGCCAAAAATAAATAAATAAGTAAATAAATTTAAAATAAAAGAACTAATAATGTTTTAAAAAAAAGACTTCCATTTTTAAAAACAAGTGCGAGGGCCACCCCCACCCCAGGGTTCCGGTGAGGGGGCCACCAGGAGCCGCCCCACCACGGTGGGGCCAGAGGGCCGAGGACTGGTCTCGAGGTTCGTGGTCTAGTGGAACTTGCCCCATTCGGTTTAGGAATTACTCGGTTCTGCCACTCCTTTCTTCTTTCCTGTTTCTCCCTATTGGAACGGGAATGTCTGTCCTCTGTGTGTCCCACCTTTGTGCCTTGGAAGCACAGGACACATATTATTCACAGATTCACAGCTGAAAAGGAATTTGCCTCAGGCCTGGGGTTTCTCCCACGTCCAGTGTACGCGACACCACGTGAGACTTTAAGTCTCTGGAAGGAGAGTTAAGACTTTGGGGCTATTGTGAATTTTGCATGTGAAAAGGACATGAATTTGGGGGACCAAATGCTATTGACTGAATGCTGTCCTCCCCACCCCTCATAGTCATGTGTTGAAACCTGATCCCCAGGTAATGGTATTTGGAGGTGGGTCCTCTGGGAGGTGATCAGGTCGGGAGGGTGGAGCCCCCATGAGTGGGATTAGCGACCCCTGGAAACTCTCTCCAGCTCCTCCCGCCACGGGGCGGGGTGGGGGGGGGGAGGGGGACACAGTGAGAAGACGGCCATCTGTGAGCCAGGCAGCAGGCCCTGCCCCACGACAGAGCTTGGACCTGATCTCGGACTCCCAGCCCTCACTCCACTGCCTGCCTCCTGGGCAGAAGTGAGCTTTCTGGATTTGACATGCACATTCCTCTGGCTGAGTTTCCCTCTCACTCTGCGACTTTCCAAGCTGGGAAAAGTTCTCAGCACAGTTTGGGGGCCTTGCTGAGCCCCTCAAATTCCAAGCCCACACAGTTCCCACCCCCAGATGTGGCAGCAGGATTGGGTTGGTCGGGTCACTCCGGAACAGCGGGTTCAGTTACAACGGACGCTAGGGAGGAAGCAGCCCCAGCACAGCAGGAAGCGGCCGCAGCAGGAGGCCCACCAGACCTCCTGCTAACTTTCCGTTGCTCCCATCAAGTCCCCTCCCAGCCCCACGGGGGTCCAGAGCAGGACAGGGCGCCAGAGTTCTGTTCTGACAGCTTTATTGGACGGGTGCGGAATCAGCTTGAATAGAGCCCGCGCTGCAGCCCACGGTCCAGAGGGCAGCCCCACTCCGTCCCCAGGGGGCAGCGGGGCCTGGCCCCCCCCCCTGCTGCTCTGGACCTGGGGGCCTGGAAGGGGTGGGTGGCGTGCCCAGAGAGGGGTCGCTGGAGAAGGCTGGGGGCAGGGGAAGGGTGTCCAGGTGAAGACAGGCCGTGTGTACCTCCCTCCACGTCTGAGGGTCAGGCAGGCGTGCTAAGGACAGAGCCCCGGCCTCAGGACCCGGGGCTGGGGGCAGAGTTATGCACCCTCAGGTTTGGGCCTCTGACAGTGCAGTGATGTTGGAGTGTTTCATTAGGGTCCCCGTCCCACAGGGAGCACGACCCTGGGGAGGCCAGACCACATCCTGACTCTGGGGCCCTTAGGCCTGGCTCGCTCTCCACCCGAGTGGGGAGACACCTGCCCCCAGTCTCAAAGGCAACAGGCCAAGCGGGGCAGGTGGCCCCTGTGGTGTGCACCTGCCTGCGTGTCCCCCAGGAACTCCCAAGCTGGGACTCCCCAGGCCGGCTCTGAGGGACTCCAGGGAGCCCCTCTCCCCGACAAGAAGCACAGCCTTTCCCACCCCACCCGGTCCCGCTCCCCGCCCGCTGGGCTCCACTGATGACAGACATGCAGCTAAGAGGCTGAGGACAGGGGTCTGCAGGGTGGGGCGGGGCCAGGGGGAGACCCAGAGCCCCAAGGCCTCCTGCTAGTGATGGGCAGCAGGTCCCAGGCGGAGGGAGCGCCTTGGAGGGGTGCGGCCTCCTGCAGACGCCCGAAGCAAAGGGAGCCAGACACCCCAGTTCAAGTCCTTAGTGACGCGTGCAGGCCTGAAGGGAGGATGAATCGTGGAGGTCGTGAGGCTGCCAGGAAGGGGTGGTGATGAGAAGCACAGGCGTGGGCACGCGACGGGCAGGCTCACTCAGAGTGGACCAGAGCCCCAGCTCCCTGCCCAAAGCCGAAGCCCTTGGGCCCGAAGTTTTTAGCATAGCATCCTGCAGAGAGAGCAGAGGGGTGAGGACGCCCCCGGCCACACCTCCCAGCCCTCCCACAACCGCAGCGCCTGGCCGGGCCCCTGGAGCAGCGAAGCCCACCAGGCTGCCCCCTCCCTGTCAACTCCAACAGCGAGGAGGTCCCTGGCTCCACGGTGTGGCCATTCCCCTGCGTCTGAAATCCCGGGAGAAGCGTCATCTGCTGTCAGAGCTCTGGGCCGGGAGCCTGGAGCCCAGGCTCTGCCTCAGCCTGCCCCGATCTGCCCGTGACTCTGGCCAAGTCACTTCCTCCGCCGGGCTCCCCCTCAGCACTAACGGGAAAGGGTCTCACTAGACGCTCTGGAATGGACTCCGAGGCCCGGAAGGGGCCGGCATCTAGCAAGGCCTTCGGCCCTCTGCCCCTCAGACCCCCAGGAAGGGAAGACGTGGGGGAGGGACAACCCACCTTTGCAGTAAATCTCGCCATCCTTGTCAGCCAGGGTGGTGGACTCGAGGCCTTTGCCGCACTTAGCGCACCGGAAGCAGGACTTATGCCAGGACTGGGGAGGGAAGGAAGCAGTTAGTACTGACCCCAGCCGTTCCCCTAGACATGATAAAAGCACTCGTGAAGGCCGACCAGCCCGCTGCTGGAGGGACCCTAACCCCACCTCCTGGAGAAAGCGCTGGGTGGGCAGGGGCAGCAGGCCAGGGGTGGGACCACCGCTAAGGCAGCCGCTCCCCAGCTCCCACCGTCAGGGCCGGCCCAGCCTCATCTGGACCATCCTGCCCGGGACCACTGGAGCACCTGCCTCTACCCCCAGCACCTCCAGGTGCACGGCCTCCTCACTCCTCACGGGGAGACCACTGCCGCCCTCGCAGCCGTATGTGAGGACCAGACAGACGCAGCCGGATGTGAGGACCATACAGACGCAGCCTGGCCACAGGGCAGGCTTTCATGATCCGCCAGGCCTCTGGATCCTAGAACAGGTGCCTGGTTTGCCCAAAGGCCGTCACCGCGGCAGGAGGGGTGGCGCAGCTGGGCAGGGGCCTGGCACAGAGGAGGCGCCCGGCACCACTGGAAGGAGAAAGGGTCCACGAGCTGCGCTGAACTCGCAGGGAAAGGCAAGGAGCCTCGTGCTCCTACGAGGAGCTCAGAGGCAGCACAGCCAACAGCCTCCCCAGGGAAGGTGGCCTGGGTCTGCACCCCTGGCGGGAGCCTGCCAAACCCGGATCAGCTGCCAGCTCCGGCAGCGCAGCCAAGCGGGCTGACAGCTCTGCAGAACCGGGAAAGCCAGAGGCCGGCAGCAGCAGACGGGACAAAACAAGGCCTTTTAAGGGCAAAGAGACTCCCTCGAATGGCTGCCCGTGCCTGGGGTGGAGATGAGAAAGGAAACTGCGTGCCCTCCGGCTTCCTGGCAGCCAGACCCGCGCACGTTGCCTCCTGCCTCCAGACCCCGGCCCCCCCAGCCCCCCAGCAGGCACCAGTGCTGGATCTAGACTTGTCCTACGTGTGAGTTCCCTGTCTACCCCCCCGGCCCCTCCTCAAGGTTGAAAAGCTTCGGAGGCCAAGACGCAGGTCCAGAGAAGCTGCAGACAGGCTCCAGGCCCCGTGGCTGCACAGCTGACCGTGTGAGCCTGGCCGAGCCTCGTGTGAAGGTCCAGAAACCCCCACCGGGCACCCATCCTGAATATGCCCCTTCAGTGGTCCCCGACTGCTGGTCCCAGGCTGCAAATCCTGACCCCTGCCCACAGCCTCTCTGAGGGAGGGGACCCCACTGTGTTTTGGTGACCCGGGCAGCTACTATCAGAATACCGAGGGGGAAGGGCAGGCGAGGCAGTTAGAAAAGATCCCAGGAGGCTGTGGTAGGCCTGAACCTTGGGAAGCTCTGCCCTGCGGGGACGTGGGTGGGTTTCTGAGTCCACATCCTCTGAAACAGGATGTATGTGGATTTTCAAGTGGTTCTTAACATTTCTGGCTCACAAACCTTTTTGAAAATCTGACGAATGCTATGGATCGTCTTCCCAGGGAGAGACAGGATCCCACAAAAGTTTGCATATTCTTTTCAGGGCTTGTGTCCACGCACCCTGAGAAGTCTGCGGCCCCTGATTCTAGAGATACCCATAGATTGGCAGCTCCCTAGGAAGTGTCCGTAGGCGCTTAAAAATCAGTTCCACCAGGGGTGAGGCTGTTACTCTCAAGCGGGGAGGGATTCAGCCCCCTGGAGACCAGAAGCCACAGGGGACAAGCAAGCACGGGGACAAAGGTTTCCCCTTCACGGTGGGCTTTGAAACGAAGGGAGGGAGTTGCAGCCCACGGCTTGGGCTGGCTGAGCAGAGCTAGGGTCTCACTCGCAGAGCTCCGGAAGCCACGCTTCAGGAAGGGGCCTGGCCGGCCCGCATCCCCACACCTCCCGCTGGCCCAGCAGCCGCCTTACCTTCCCAGCACCAATCACCTTCTCAGCGGCGTAGACAGCCTGGCTGCACCGCGGGCAGCACTCAGAGCCGCCGATCTTCTGGGCAAACTTGGCCGCATTGGGGTTGGTGGTGGGCCTGTGGCTGGGGCCCCTGCGTGGGGAAGGACGTGCGGTGACATGACATACAGGCAGCAGTACGGGCGGGGGTCTGGCACCGTGTGGGCACCACCCCGCCTCCACCTGGCCCAGCCTGTTACAAGGCCGCAGCTGCCTGGTCCTGTAGGGTCACCTCCCACTTTACAGATGGACACACCAGGGGCGGGCACTCAGACTTCGCTCAGCCCCCCAGTTAAAACATTGGAGTCACAGAACACCTCGTTTGCTAGGAACTGCCCTCCTCTGCCCCTCACTCCTTCGGCCTGCCGGTTATGAGAGTCCTTCCAGGAGAAATCTGTTGACCAGTCACCCCCACTGGGGCAGTGACCTTGGCCGAAATGTGGGAACTCATCCATCACTTCCATGCATCCCCCCAACGCCCAGGGCCAAGGAGCTGGCAGGCTGACCACCAGCACCTCCACTCACAGCAGGTCAGTGGTCAGTGGGTGCTGGGGACCTAGTGACACCCCGTGATTCCGGGGAAGGGAACTGACGCCCCCATGAGCAGGGGTGCAAGCTGGTCCGGCTCGGACACTCACTGGCTGTAGGGCCCCCAGCAAGTCACCGAGACCGGCTGGGTTTTCTCATCCGTGGAAAGAAGAGACGGGACCCAGGGATTCTTAGGGCCCCTCCCAGCTCTGACACCCATGACACTTGGGGCTGCGGCTCCGCCGTATAGGGAAGAGCCTGGCCTGTTTCATTCCCTGCTGGGCCCCGCTCCTCTGACTGGCCTGACACACAGTAGGTGCTCCTACACCTGGGAGGGGCGTACTCACTCCTCGTGCTTGATGCCGAGCGACTCCCCCTTGTCCATGCTCAGCGTGCCCGCGCCCTGCCCGTAGCCGTAGCCCTTGGGCCCATACTTCTTGCCATAGCAGGATTTGCAGTAAATCTCCTCGCCGTGCACGGCCACAGTGGTGCTGTCCAGATTCTTCTTGCAGACCACTGCAGAGGAAAGAGGGTTACGGGGAGTCGGTTCGCTGCAAGCACCCCGAGAGCCGAAGCTCCCTGGGACTCTGCACACGTAATATCCCGATCTTTCAGGAGCCTGGTGACAGGGGTCAGGATGGCCAGGGACCTGGGAGGAGAGAGGAGGGGTCTAAGGATGCTGGCCGAGCCGCCCCCCACCAGGAACCACATGGGTCTTCCTTGGTCCTCTGCACCCTCAGAAGTCCCCGGGTTCAGAAGCCGAGAACTTAGACTGACCCCAAGCCCCAGGAAGCCTGCTGGACCTTCACTCTGCCCTTGACAGAGCGATCATGTGTCCCGACAGAAGAGGAAGCCCTACAGGCTTGGGGGCAGGGGTGCCGGGGAAGTGATGCTCCCAGAGGGGAAGGGCAATATTTATTAAGCACCTGGCATGGCGGGCTTTGAAATGAGATACAGGTTGTGCTCAACACGTCAGCAAGATCTGCAATTTCTAATCTCAGAATCACTTTGCCACGGGAGAGACTGAGGTCAGATGCTGGGAAGAATTTCCCGACTCCAAGGTTAAGAGACTGGAATGGGATAAACTGGAAAGCCTGCGGGCCGCCTGTATCTTCCTGTGGATCTCAGAGCAGGGCTGTGTCCAGCGACCCAGAGTAAAACAGTTCGGAGCCCAGGGTCATGTAGAGTCAGATGCCTAGAGCCCAATCTCTCTCCCCGGCCCTTCCCAGCCCACGTGTCCACAGCTAGATGCAGATGACAGCCTCCCCCCAAAAGGTGGCTGTGAGAATTAAATGAGCCCTCACCCGGGGAGTACTTAGCACAGTACCCTGTGCACAGTAGGTCATCATAAACATCCGCTGCTCCTATAGTGTGATACAGAGTTAGTGCCATGGGAACACAAGGCGGGGGGCCAGGCCTCCAAATATCATCGGCTTCCAACCCCCAAGTCCTTCTCTCAAGAGACCCGACTTCCCCTGCTTCTTTAGGTCTTGGCCTATGATTCTAATAGGGTCCCACGAAGGTCCGCAGATTTGGGATTCAGTGCGTCCACCTGGACCACATCCTCAAACACGTGCTTCTGAAGATGGATTCCGGGGAAGCCCTGGAGGAGCCGGCCTCTCCCCCCTGCAAAGAGGTGCTCCGCTCAGCTCTGGCCAGCTTGCCAGCCCCTAGCTTCATTTATTTATTTTTCCCTGCTGTGTGGTTTATGGGATCTTAGTTCCCTGACCAGGCACTGAACCTGAGCCCTTGGCAGTAAAAGCACCACTAACCACTGGACCGCCAGGGAACTCCCAGCCATCCCCTTGCCTTTAAAGGCCGGCTCTCTGCCCCCAGGCCTCAGGTTGGAGATTTCAGACTAAATAAGGACCCTCTGGTCCTGCCCCTGAGATCCCCACGTCCTTACGGCACTCAGGCGACCCAAATATGGATCTTCCCACCGCCTCCCTAGGGCTTGGCTCCCCGGAACAGCAGGGGGTGGGGCTCCAACATTCCTTCTTGGGTGGGAAGTTGGCCTGGAATTGCTTCCCGTAAGACCCAAGCGAACCTGGAAATTCCAAGACCAGAGGGGAGGCAGAAAGTGAGACAGAACGGCGAGACAAACGGAGGTCTCCTCAGAGCGACCTTGCCAGCAGGAGACCCAGGGGCTCAGCCCAGAGGAGACTCCAGGGTCTACGACTGAGCCCTCCAGACGGCCCCCTGCCTGAGCCCCAGCCTCAATAGGGGGACACCCCGACCTCGCTGCCGCTTCCGCTCTGCCTTGTCCCAGAGGCCCTGGCCTCTGGCCTCCACCCCGGTCCAGTCTGGGCACCTGCAGACTCCTCCAGAAACTCCACTAAGGGGAATTTTGAAGGAAGGCCTAAATCAATTTCTACCAAACCATGTTAAGCAAAAACCAAACAAACAGAAAAACTTAATTACGGGCTGGTTGTGTGTATTTGCTGGGAAAATGTACTCCAGATGCCACAGGGTAGAGGCCGCCCCAGGTGAGAGGCCAGGGCCCCCTCACCCCACCCCAAGACAGACAGTAATTCTCTGTTTCTGGAAGGAAAACCAAGGCCCACAGAAAAGTTCCAGCTTATAGAGTCAGGCGAAGCAGGGCCCGGCTGGAGCACAGCCTCACCTCCAGGCCTGATTCTTCCCTGCCAGCCCAGAAGCCCTTTCAGGTGGGCCGGGCGAGGGACCACAGCCTGCAGGTGATGGATGCTGGTGCTGGGGGCGTGCAGGGCTCTGAGAGCGCGCCGGCGCTCAGGGTTCTGGGGAGTAGCCCAGTTCCAGCAGCTGCCACCTCGGGGAGAGGCCAGACCTGCTCTGCTTTCCCACAGGGCTGACCTGCCCCAGGTGGGAGCCGTTACAGCTCGGAGAAGCAGCAGCCTCGGGGCAGGTCCCTGCAGAGCCGAGCCCTCTCGCCTGCGGATGGGGACTGGCGGCCCCTCCTCAGACCACCAGGCTGTACCCTGCGGGCCGAGCCCAGGGAGGAGGCTGCTCTCCCCGACCGTCTAGGGCAGCGTCCTGCAGAGCCCAGGCCCCAGGAAAGGGATCGTGGATGCCAACCTGAGTAGGAACCAGAGGCAAGCACCAGGACGGTCAGAGGACCTTCTCTCGGGGACTCACCCAGGCCTGGCCAGCAAGGGGCTGAGGTCCCTGATGCCACCCAGGCCCACACCCTGCTGGCCTTGCTCTGCCTCTGGAGTGAAGGTCTCCTGATTCTGAGGGTGATTCTTCATTCTTGATTCCAGCTGGACACTTAGGCCCATGGCACTGAAAGAGAAGTGACCCTCCTCCCACTCGTAAACACACCTGCGCACCCGGTGCTGTTCTAGGCCCCGAGAATCAGCAGGTTGTGAAGATGCTCAGACTGGGGACATCCTCTAGCTCCATGCCCAGGAACTCGGCCGCAGCCGGAGACCCCAGAGACACAGGAGGCTGACCTGTAGCTGCTATAGTCCTGCAGCAGCCGCTGCACTCCACCCCTGCCCCAGACCTGCCTGTTCCTTCCTGTACCACCCCCCGCACCCCGCATTCCTGGCTTCCCTGGACCGCCCGGCCAGCGGCCACTCCTCCGCAGGCAGGCCTGCAGGCCTCCCCGCCCGGCTGGCCCGTTTCAGTCCGTGATTAAAGCAACATTTGAGGGCAGAGAGGGGTCCTTGGGGCCAGCAGTCTGGACCATCTCCCTGGCCAGAGCCAAAGCCTCTTATTCCCTCTGAAAAAACTAAGCAGCTCGCAAAGTCCTGAGTACAGAGAATCGTTGACTACACGACGATGACGCTGCTGGCCAGAGCCAAAGCCTCTTATTCCCTCTGAAAAAACTAAGCAGCTCGCAAAGTCCTGAGTACAGAGAATCGTTGACTCCACGACGATGACGCTGTTGGCGGCCTCCTCCCGGCTGGAGGCCAAAGGCCCCACCTAAGCTTGTTGGCCACTGGCAGCCCTTGATCAGTCTCTGCAGCCGGCCGGAGGGTGTGGCTGAATTGGGCGGGGCTTCTGGCTGCTCCGCCCACAGCAGGTGGGATCTGATGCTCATCCAGGGAGCAGGTGGCCCTTGGCCTGTCTGGACCCTGCTCTGGACCACGAGCTCCTGGAAGCAAGGCAGCCAAGCTCTCCCGACTCTGCTCTGTGAAGCCGAGGAAACAGGCCCAATTCCCAGACCTCCCAGACAGGCTGAGATGTCAGCTGCTGTTGAGGGGTCCTTGAGCCACACCAGGGCCGTGTGTGTGTGTGTGTGTGTGTGTGTGTGTGTGTGTGTGTGTGTGTGTGTGTGGTGTATGTGTGTGCATGTGTGTGTGGTGTGTGTACGTGAGCATGTGTGTATGTATGTGAGCATGCGTGTATGTGCATTGTGTGTGTGTGGTGTGCATGTGAGTGTGTGTATGTATGTGTGTGGTGTGTATGTGTGGTGCTGGTGTGTGTGTTGTGTATGTATGTGGGCATGTATGTGTGTGTGAGCATGTGTGTATGTATGTGTATGTGTGTGGTGTGTATGTGTGTATGTGTATGTGTGTGTAGTGTGTGGGTATGTGTGTGTGTGTGTGTCGGGGAGCTGCTATCATTTACTGAACACTCACAACTGCTCCAACTGCTTTGTTTGTTTTCCGAGCTCCTTCCCTGTTAATTCTCACACCCCCCCATCCCCCCGGCCGCCGTGAGGTAGGTGTTGTTATCCCCCCTGTAACAAGTAACCTGCCCATCACCATGCAGAGGACAAAAACAGAATTCACATCCAAACCCTGACCAACTGGTTCTGAAACCTAGAGCTTAACCCCACAATTCCCTGCCTCCTCCTCTGCCTGGGCTCAAGGAAAACGCAGGTCACCTCTTCTAACCCAGAACCTCGGCTCTGTCGCAATGAACCCCGTCACTCAGGAAAACGGGGAGGCTCCCTCCATCCGCCACTTCCTGGGCCGGGAGCTCTGAAAGGCTGCCCGGCCCAGGCCATGGCCAGTGCAGCACCGCGGCCTCTGCATGCCCTGCATCCCCCGGACCACCCGACAGCTCCCGGATGGATGGCGGCCACTGCCTGGCTTCCTGTTCATCCAGGCTGTGATTGCAGCAATGGGTCTGGGTCCAGCTGTCAGGACAATGTCCAAATTCCTCCAGCTCATCTTCCTCTTACCCCAGACTGTCAGGTGGGGATGGGAAGTGCGGGGCGGGG